GTACCTGGCACACAGGAGACAATAAATATTTGTGGACAGAAGGAGGAGAAAATGCCTTCCCAATAGGATTAAGAGCATTACATGAGATGACATATGTAAATCATGTGGGTCACATGTGCTCTGTAAATGATGGCTTCAGCTACCAGCTTATTCTGATTATATGATCCCAGGCTTCATGATTCAAAGAATTATGACTATTGTCTCATTTATTCACTCATCAAAGAAATATTAATACTTACTGAGCAACTACCACCTATCACGTAGGACATTAGAAATGTAAAGAGCACAGTCATGATCTTAAAGTGGCTGACTTACACTTTCAATACACTACGTGCCACTGCACTCACACATATAGAGAGAGAGCGCTATAAGCACACAAAGACTAGCCAGGAAAGAAGGCGGGAGCAGGGACAATATCTGGAAGGGAAACAAATTTTCTATGTTGAACTCTTATGACCCATTGACAATGCTTAGTTTCTGGAGATGAATAGATGATGAATTTTATCACACGCAGGAAATATGATTGGAATAAACTTTTACCAGTCTATTTCTTCTGAAATGTATCTGGATGTTGCATTCAGCTGGTTAGACTCTGTCTCTTAGAGAACTGTGTGAGGGATAGTCTAAGTCCTCTGACATTTTAGGCTCTAAACCTGGAGACTCCAACCAACAGGTGGCAAGAATTAGAAACAGGTGCTGCATTACAAACAGATTGAATTGAAGCAAGCATATCTTTACTTGCCACCACTGCATTACCCTGAGTTCTGGGAAAGACTTCTCAGGAAACTCCTCCAAACTCCTTGGGCAGTATTTAACATTTTAGACAGTAACTATACGATGTGGTCCAAGGTTTCTAAAATTTGTCATATACAACCACTGTCAGGATATGCCATTCTGAGTTCTACCTGTACTATTACTTTACCTAATACTTTTAAATTAAATTACTTTTTACTTAAATCCTCTCAAAGAAGATATATATCCTAAATATCATTAGCAAACAAGTGTCAATTGTCCTTAACAGTTCTGATGTCTGCAAATATTATTGCCAGTCCCCAGAAGATAAGCCCTCTCCACCCCTCTATGCAGTGATGCTCTAATGCAATTCCCAGCAAGCCACCAAGTGGGGCAGCACCGTGAAATGGACAGATGAAGCGTTGACACCTGACAATGCAGTATGTTGTACAGGGTGTGTAGGCCAAGGGAATTATATCCCACCAAAAATCATCTTCAGTGCCACTAGCAGTAGAAATAGAAATTTGGTTGCACTCAGTGAAAAGATAATAGGATTTAAAGACATGACACCTGTGTGAGAGTCCTGCCCCTGCGGCTTCCTAGTTGTTTGGCCTTGGACAAGGACCTTCTCTGAGCCTTCGGTCCCTTATAAATAATATGATTATGACATAGCAGCTCCTCGCAATATCAGTGAACCAATGAAATGATTGCAATGGCAAGCCTGCAGAATCACCTTATAAACTCTAAAGTGTGTACAAATATTTTATTATTTTGCTGAGATTTTGATTTTCAAGAGACAGTGAAGCATACCTTTCTACTCTCAGTACTTGGACATCAGTAATGATGAAAGAATATCAAGAACACTGCCCTTGACCACCACTCAGACAATTGAGTGAGCAACTGAAGGATGCTTCTTCCCCATTCTATGATTTCTGTGATGTGTAAACATGGTAACCTGGGGGAATGAACAGAGAACAGGATATGTGGTTGTGAGAATTGGCACAGGACACAGAAAGCCCAGATGCACAATGAGTGCTATCCTTCCATAAACAACTCACCTAGAAAGGTCACAGAAAACCAGGACAGCTGTGTTTCCATCGCAGGGTGGTGGTTCCTCACTGCCGCCCCATACTGCACCTCAACTCAGCCAGTTTTAACAAGTCAGTACCACCCACAACTATCTACAGTCACCTTGCCATGGTCCCATAATGCTCTACCTAGTCCCAGTCCTGATCAGCCTCACTTGTCCTGTCCCTCCCAAATCCTGACCCTGAGCATTTGGTAACCCCTACTCCAAAATCAGTCTGCTCCTGCCTCCCTCTGCTGCCTTCTGTTATCTTCAAGAGGGCATGGCATTCCTCAGGGAACTCTTCTCCCCATGCAGCCCTCTCAAGGGAGGCTTTAATTTTCTCACTCCCATGGACCTCTCAGGTGCATGAGGGAAAGTAGGGCTGGAGTCCTCTTTGCTCCCACTGTCATCTCCAGACCATGGACACCCCTCTTGTTGTATCCCTGCTCTTTTGGGACCCACAGCTCAGCTACACCTCCTTCTCCTATTCTTCACTTTGTCCTCCTGACAGTACCTCTCTTTCACTAAAGATTTGAACACCTGGCTCTTGGGATCCACCCAAGGTGCAAAACGCTGGACTCTCAGTTCCTTGACATCCTCATCACTGATGAACTCCACCACTGTGCCTCAGCTGCCTTCTCCCACACTTGAGACGTCCTGAATCGCCAATTTCAGCATCTCACTCTGACCACAATCTCTTTTTCCAGAATGTTTGTTCAACTATTCCTTCAACCACAGTTCTTAGCCCTAATTGGAACCCCTTAGTCCTCTCACTCATTACTTTCTCCCAATCCATTAGCCTCTCTTCACGTCTCTTTGTATCCAGCTAAGGTTCCTCAATCCATCATATTACTAGTGGTAGCACTTATATCAATACCCTCAACTCTGTTCCCCATCTGCATTTTACCATACATAGAAAAATCCCCAACCTTGTTATGAATGCAAGAATCCACTATGACTGTGCCCTCAACCTGTGAGATCTGAGGCTATCTCTGGGTAGTGTCAGAATAGAATTGGAGGATACACAGCTAGTGTATACCTCCACTGCAGAACTAATTGCTTGCTTGCAGGTAGGAAGAAATCCTCACATATTTGGCACAGAAGTCTTCTGTGTTGATTATTGTGGTGTGAGAGCAGAGTGAAAATGAGTTTTAAGGAGTTTTTTTTCCAGCTCATCTACAGACAAAATATTTCCAGTGTCATGCCACTGAACTACAGACACACCCCATCTCCATCCATCCACCTTCTCTAGCTTCCCTCCTGCTTATAATAGAGCAAGTGTCCTTCCTCCTGAGATCCAGCCCTCTGCCTGTGCTTCCAATCCTCTCCCCTTCTTAGGAGGCCTACGTTGCCTTTATACACCCCTATTCTTGTTTTTGGCAAGACTGTCTTAATGAGTCCTCATCTCAAGGGATTTTCTCAGTCCCAACCCTTATTTTGGGAGTTTAGAATAGCCTGCTTTTTCAGCCCTGCAACATAGTGAATTTCTGGAGTCTCAGTTTCTTTTTGGTTTTTCTTGCAAACCAGACAATTCTTTCCTTAATTTCTCTCTTTCTTGTAATTCTTTGAGAAAAGCACCAATAATTTCTAACACTCTTATAACAGATGTCTTCATATGTCCCCCAGATCCACTATGCACCCCCACCAGGAAGCTGACCTGGATGGACCACATCAGCAGCTCCCTTGCCCACCTGCTGCTCCCAGTTGGGTTTGACTAATGAGGAGCCCTAGAAGGAGACAGGAGGCAAAGAGAACAAGGTGAGGGTATTTAATCCCTGGCTCATTCTCAGCAAAGTTGCCCTAGGCTTGCTGCCTCCCTCTAGCTGAAGTTCACACCTTGTTATGGCCACTCTCTGTTCACAATTCTCTCCCTCCAGTTTAAGTAACTACTCACTCACTTTTAACTCCTTCTGTGCAGGGATGGTAATAGCCCTCTAATTGGTAGCCCCTTAAACTGCACTATCTCCTATGGTTTCCTGCCCACAACTTTCTAAATTGTCCTTTTATCAAAGCCCCCTTGAATTGGCATCTATTTCTTGCTGGGCCCCTGCTTGATACACACATGAACCCCCTGATTCTTTCCAATTACTTTTTTTCCTTTCCTGTTTTAACTGGCATATTTTTGGTTGCAAATCGATAAACCTAATTTGGCCTATTTTAGGCAAAAAGCGGCATTCATTACCTTGATAATGAAACTATGCAAACAGGGCCGCTGGGGAGTTTAAAAACTGGAACTCTTTCTATAGCTTTGTCCTTAGAATAAAAGTGATCCTCTTTCTTCAGTTTCAATTAGAAAAACCCTAGGTAAGGGCCTGGCCCAGCCTGGATTACATGCTTAATGCTAAACTTAAACAAGTGGAATACTTACTGGTACTAGCAGTGCTGTGAGAACAACATGGTGGAAGTGGTAGCAGCAGTCCCCAGAATTAAATGGCTGTTAGTCCTAGATATTTTTTAATCACTCTGATTTTAATGACTCCACAGACAGAAACCACACATAAAAACTTGTTATCTTGGATTCTACTGCCAACCTCTTAGGTTATAGATTTGGGGCGCTTATAATGTCAAGTTTTTCTGACTCAGAATGTCTCTGTGTGTCCAAAGTCCACAAAAAAAAAAAGATATGGTCACCTCTTTGGGGAATAGGGATAGAGGTAGAGAGTAGAGAAGGTGTGAAAAAGCAATTGTGGAGAATGGAGATCAAGTTTCCTGGGAAATTGTAGTAGGATTGCCAGACAGTGCTGAGGTAATCATGAATTCATAGAGGATCTAATTTGCCTTTTTGTATTACTTCTCTAGCAGTGTTGGCTGCTGAGATACAAATATGGAAAAGCTAGACTTACATTTGTAACAGGGTCGAGATTTTCCTAGATTTTTCTATATGTGGTAAAATGCAGAAGAAGAACAGAGTTGATACTGGTATGAGTGCTACTACTAGTAATATGATGGATTATGGAATCTCAGCTGGACACAAAGAGACATGGAGAGGCTCATGGATTGGGAGAAAGTAGACGGGTGAGATGACGTGGGGAGAGGGTTTCCAATTAGGTCTAAGATCTGTGGTAGGGGAAATAGTTGAACAAAGCAATACAAATATGTGTTTGCATATACAAATAGCAAATACATACATTCCTTGATTAGGGTAGCCCTTGCACTTATAAAGAAACTTCCTTATTCAAAAAGGATATACGCAAAATGATGTAGCTATGATATACTTTATTTCAACATAGTAAACCAAAAAATAACAAAACAATTCCTTTCTTAAAAAAAGAAAAAAAATTCTGTACATGCAAGGTTGGCATGATTGGCCGTAACGTACTTCAACAAAAAAAAAAAAAAAAAAAAAAAAAATTAGGTACTCCACATTTAATAAAGCTTTCTATACAGGTGGTAGATAGTAAATAACTTTGCGACCAGACATTTGGAAAAATCAAAACATAGTTTTAAAACAGAGTTAAGTACATAAGTTAAGAATATTGTGGCCTATTTATCTGTATAAAAAAACAATCATTCTTCAGTCTTCCACTTTCACATATCTTTTCTTTAACAGAGCTAAGCTCCAAATTTGAAGGATTAAATCTTTCTTCCTAAAGTGTCAGGAATATCACATTCTCCTTCAAACCTGTAGCTGTTTACAGAACAGACCATTTAAAGGGAAATGGTGGTTAACAAAGAGATTTCACTTCTGTGCCACTGCTCCAGATTCTGCTAGGGAAGATTTTCTGAGTTGGCTACCAATTTACTCAACTCACTTCAAAAACATTATACCTGATTATAGGCTTTACTTGGCTTTCATGCAGCCCATTAGCTTTATTATTGAAAATTAATTCATGACATTAGCCCTTAACTTAATCTGTACAAATGACATCTTTGAATTCTATGACAGTGATGTTAGCATATTTAAATGTAAAATTTTAATATTAATTTATTTTTAAAATATGCAAGTGGATATGTTTTCTCAATAATCACTTTTTCCATGCACAATTGAAAAATAAAATGGTGAAAGAGGCATAAAAATATGGATGTTCAAAAATAAGACAACTAGAAAAATTTCATATATCAAGATATGGCTGGGGTCAGTTTATAAGAATAACTGTTCATTATTGTATACACTGGACAGCAAAACCTAGCCCTGTCTGAAAGCACTGGATCAAACTGTCTTCCCAAGTCACTCCAGGCCATGATTCTACCTGCTGGAATGAAACATTTTTAATAAATACAAACTATCATAGACCTACAAGTTTTCATATTCCTAAATAATGAATTTAACTATTATAGAACAATTTAAATAGGTGTACTGTAAAAGAAAACAGTTGTAAACATACTCTTAATATTTTTTCTTTATCTGAAAGATAATATTAAAAAGAGATTCCACAATTTATTGATTCCTTAAGAACTAAGAACCAAAGCACTAAACATAATAAATAATGTGCAACCTAGAGGCCTGGAAAAGGATATAGAATACTTAATAATAAACCATATATAAATTATACATTATATAGTAATTTTATAGTATATATTATATTTTATATAATACTTAAATATATAAATTATATATTAATTTTATATTATATTATAAATTATATTTTATATAATACTTAATAATAAATAATAAAGTAAAATACCAAAATTTTTAATGCATTAAAATTTTTAATGCATTAAAAATTCAGTATTTCAGTATTAAGACTTCTTCATTCAATTACAGTTAGATTTATTGCTATTATAAATAAACGTAACATTAAGGCACCTATTATTACCTACGAAAAAGTGTTGGATTCAAAACAAAGGAAATATGCACTGTGAAACTTTTTTCTTTCATTCTGATGTCATTACAGATACAGTTTTAAATGTTAAATTTTTGCATGACAGTATATAAATATCTTTGAATATATTACCTAAATATAGTTCTTCAAGTGTTCCTCTATGATATTTTGATACATTAATGGGCATGATATTTTAATTAAAGTATGTAATACTTCAATCAATGAAGAAAGAAGCAAAAGCAAATCAAGATGGATGGGCAAAGGACTAAATATAAGAGACATGACAACCTCTTAAAAAAAATACTGTACAGACTGTGTCTATGAGCGATCTTGACCAAATCATTTAACTTCTCTGAGCCTCACTCTTTCCATCTGTAATATTTCAATAATAACTGCTCTGTCAAGCTCATGAGGCTGTTGTGAGTTCAAATGAGATGATCCAAAAACACTTAGCAAACTGTGAAGCACTGCAGAAAGAAATGGTATTATCAAAGGCCAAAATATCTGAAGTTTCTGATAGTCTCTCTAATATTAATAAAAAAGTTATAGCTTGTTCTTTTTGCATTCACTTGAGAATTCCCAGTTTTGATCAATTAGATAGATATGGGATGAATGGAGTAAAAGCTTAATGCAAACAGAAATGCTCTAAGTTTTAGTTTCCAGAATTTTATAAAGTAGTTTGCTGTGAGTGTGGAACCACTAATTGATGGGTCTCAAGTTACCTTTTGACACTTCCAAAAATAAAGAGGGGGCTGACTTCTCAGGAACCTTGGCTCCTGGCCTTTCCTTAGTCTCCCCTAGAAAGACCTCCATCACCCTCACCATCTGCTATTGTGCAGCTGACATAGGTCCATTACAAGATCTCTCTCTTATATCAGCTTAAAAGAGTATTAAGAGCATAAATAAACACAGTCAAATGCTGGTACATTACTGAGTTTGGCATACATTTGCAATGGTTCAATAGTCCCCACCATGTTCTCTCTTTATTAGTTCATAAACTCTTCCTCTATGTATAAATTGTTCTAGGTCAGCCTTTTCCAATCTATGTTCTGAGGAACACTAGCTAGCTGAGATATTAACAGATGAAAACAGATCTATGTTAAGTAATCTGGAAATATGCAGGATGAGATAAGTTTATGTAACATTAGAATTTCTAAGTCTTTTTATATACTGACTGCACTTTTCTAAAGAGGAATGGAGTGTATAGCATTTCCCAAACTCATCTGACCACAGAATTCCTTTTTTCCCCTGCAAAATATCTAGAAGGGCTAATATTAATAGCTCTTAGAATATTCTTTGGAAAATGCTATTCTAGTCAATTCATCTTGGTTTTAAACATTCCAGTGCTAAATCTGACAATTGTTATCTTTTTAATTTCTGAAGGAGAAGAATAATTTTGCTTACAAGGTCAACTACCATAATAACGTCCTGGATTCCCCCCCATAAGTATCCTTCCTAAAGCAACTAAAAACTAAATATTCTTTACTACATATTGAAGAATTCAAAGAAGTTATTCTTGTGTTAACGAGAATTATGATCTTTTTAAGAAAATCCTTATATTCCTCCCCTAAACATTAAAAATACAAAGATATAAATCTAGATTCTAGGACCTAGAATCACAATTACTTTGAGGAGATGAGAGTATTTTTTCACAACCTCACTGCAATTAACACTATCAATAATAATAATAATGACAATTACTAGTGGTAGCAGTATTGGCTAAGCACTTATTTTTGCATTTTAATCCTCATATCCACTCTATGAATTTAAGACCTACTATTTACTCCCATTTTAAAGATAAGTGCACTCAGGTTTACAGAGATTAACTGTCTTGCCAAAGGTCAAACGAGTAAGGGCAGAACCTTGAACTCATATCTGACCCCTCACTCTATGTTCTTAACTACTACATAATGCCACCTTATATTCCAGTGACAAAACAAAAGGACTTAGGTTACATTCTTGTTGTTAAACAGGAAAATTATCCAAATTGATTGGAATTTGGTTTTTGGATTTCCTTTTGATCAAACCACCATTCCTTTAAAGGATATACTTTAAGTTAAAAAAATAAAAATAGAGTGCTATTTACCAATGACAAGTTCATAGGGTTTTAAAAAGGGAGGTTTTTAAAAATCTGCATCCAAGGTGAAGACATTATCCGTGGTTTCTGCCATAACTGCAAAACGCTGGTACTCTGAAACTCGTTTCTCAAAGAAATTTGTTTTTCCTTGTAAAGAAATGTTTTCCATAAAATCAAAGGGATTTTCTGCCTGGAAAACCTGAAAAGAAAAGAAATGTTATTAAACATTCTGAAGACACCAAATTATATCCCACCAGAAGAGCAAAGATGGCAAAAACATAGCTCAGGTTTCCCAACACGTATCTAGTCACCTATAGGATCACATTATTCCCCTAAGATCCTGGTGGCACTCAAGACTGACTGAGTCAGCACTGAAGCCTGACAAATTTTAAGATGACTGAGATCAACTACTCATCTCCTCAAGAAACTATACTAGCATCTCTGGTATTCTAAGAAATAGAAAGAAAAGAAAAAACTATTTCAGGAAATGAGATATTTAATGCTAACCAAATGAAAATGTTCTCACAACTGGAAAGATGCAATATACCACAGAAACTATGGGCATTTTTCATAGGCATTACTATTGGATAGTTACATGTACATGATACTACAAAATGTTAAATTACTAACAATCTACTATTGTCCTAAATATATTTCTTAGTTCATAAGAGAATAATCAACAAATTGACATTATGGGACCATGGATCAGGGAAGACAGAATAAATGTTATCCATAGTGACTAGATGTTTCCAAACAAAAAGTGGGACATGTAATGAGAAGAAGCTTTTTTACTACTTCAGAATTCAAGAAGCAGACTTGGAGATACAGCCTGATGGATACTATGGGATATTTCACTGATTCACAAGGGGTAATAAAAGGGGATTTCTGAATTTAGGAGTATCCCAGCAGGGAATATGACTACCAGAGATAAGAATATATTCGGGTAAACCAATTTTTAAACAGGCAGAGTATCTGAACAGACAAAAAGACATTTCTTCAAAGAAGTTATATAAAAGGCCAATAAGCACATGAAAAGATACTCAACATCATTAACCATTAGGGACATGCAAATCAAGACCACAATGAGACACCACTTCACACCCACTAGAATGGCTATAATTTTAAAAAAACAGATACGTTTTGGAGAGGATATGAAGAAATTGGAACCTTCATACACTGGCAGGAATATAAAATTATGCAGCTGCTTTGGAAAATGGTCTGAAAGTTCTTCTAATGATTAAACATGAGTTACTATAGGACTCAACAGTTTCACTCCTAGGTATACACTCAAGAGAAATGAAAACATGTTGACAAAATACTTGTACATGAATGTGCATAGCAGTATTTATTATATCTAAAAAGTGAAAATGATCCCAAAGTCCATCAACTGTGAATGGATAAATAAAATTTGGTATATCTATACAATGGAATATTATTTGGTCATAAAAAATGAAGTACTGATATATGTTACAACATGGATGAACCTTTAAAAAAATCATGCTATGTGAAAGATGCTCTCAATAAAATATATTTTAGGGGCCTCACTTTATTATTAATATAATATCTTAACTAGTAATAATACATTTTTAAAAACCTCACCTTCGAGAATCCAAGTTCCACAAGTAATCTGTCAGCTACAAACTCAATGTACTGTTTCATCAAAATGCAATTCATTCCAATGAGCCCAACTGGCAAAGCTTCTGTTAAAAACTCCTGGGATATAAACAAAAACAGAATAAAGTACAAACAAAACAGTAAATAAGTATGTATTTTCCAAATAAAAGACTGGTTTAGTTTTATAAATTTTCTAAGACATTGATTTTGTTCAAGGAAAGTACATGAGGATAAATTCTTTCCACCTGGCAAGTGATGTCCATCTGATTAAAAATGTTTGGGGTATTACTATTCACATTATTTCACATTTTCAAAGAGCCAAAAATAAATGCAAACTAATACCAAATTACTGGATTTTTAAAAGCAGCATATATAGGACCTGGATTCAAATGTTTGCTCAATAGAAAAAAGGAGATGTTTGTTCTGAAATATCTAGAAAAAGATTCAAAGATTTTCATGAGAAGCATGACTATAAGAGGGAGCTGGGAAAGAGGGAAAATTCAATTAACAAAGAATGTGAGAAAAAAATAAAAATAGATCTGGGAGTTGGGAGATAAATTTTCATATGTAAGCCAATCCTATTGAAAGACAGTGATAGATTTTTAATAGAGGAAAAATAAAAACATTATTAACCACTTGGATTTAGTTCTCAAAATGATTAAAGATACCAAAATGCATTCTATACCTTTTTCCCCTTCCAATGTGAAAACTATGCCTATTAAACTATGCATTGTTAAAAAATAAAAGTTAAAAAAACTATTTTATTTTTAAACTAGTTATTTAGAATCATCAAAACACTTCCTAAGTGGAGCATCTAGTAAAAAATCTTTACATACTACATATTAAATTTTACTATTCACTAATCCATTTACTTATTCATTCTATGAACATTTGGTATATTCTTCAAGCTAGGTAACTTGCTAGGTTATTGAAAATACAAAGCAAATAAGAAACCATCACTGTCTTCTAGTCACATAATAAATATATAAAGTTCCAACAATGCAAATATTTTGTTATAGGATGAAATTTGACAGATAGATTAATGAGACAGAAAAATAGCCCTGAAACAGATTTTAGTATGCATAAAATCTTAATACGTATTAAAGACTGACTTATAACCCTTATTATAAATTGACATAATAATTGCAATATATCATGTATTGGTACTGTCAGATTGACCATACAGAATTGCTGATATTTGTATTAACCTACAAAATTACAATTTCACATGAGTCAACCTAACAAATATTAGAGAATGAGAGATGGGCTAAACACATAAACTTCCCTACTTACCTGCTCAATTTTGACAGCTTCAACAATGATCTCCCTGACCCTTTCTTCTGAAGGCTTGTTTACTAAGTATTGAAACATCAGGCAAGCAAAGTCACAGTGAAGTCCCTAAAATAGAAGAAAAACGCATTGTCAAAAAATTTTAATCAGCTATTCACACAGAATGATATGTCAAGTGTCATATAAAGTAGGTTCTAGGAATACAACACAACATGGAACTTCTGAAAAATGGAGGAATGATTAATAGGGCTAGGAACTTCCTTCAAATTTCATTAAACACCAAAACAATAACGTAGAATGAAAATTTTTCAATGCCGGCAAAGCTTAGTTCATCAACATTAAAGGAGAATCTATAAACAAATAAAATCTGCATCTGAAAGCATTCCAGAAAGGAAGATAAAGGCTGAAATGAAAATACATTAATTTTTATATTTCAAAAAAATTAAGGATTCAAAAATGGTAGTATTTAAATAAGATGAAACTCAGAGATTTCAAAGCACATTTTATTAAATACAAATAGCTCAAGATAAAAATGTATTCAGCACAATGAAAATGAAAACTGAAGAATGATGAATACTATTTGAAGCCACATAAAGCAAAGATGACATTGCAGATAACTCAAAAGAAAAAAACGTGTGAAATACCCCTGAGAACAGAATGGTTATCCAAATACAACAAACATTATAGAATTTAAAGTAACTGGAGAACAGACCAAGGAGATTCCACCTATAATAATTAGGATTCCAAAACATAGAATATATAGTAAAAAGCTGAAAACTAAAAGAAGAAAATTTTCAAAAATTCAAAACAAAAAAGAGAATGAGGTCAGATATAGAAATATGATGGAACACCCCAAAAAATTAACAATTAAAGCCGGGCGCGGTGGCTCACGCCTGTAATCCTAGCACTCTGGGAGGCTGAGGCGGGCGGATTGCTCAAGGTCAGGAGTTCGAAACCAGCCTGAGCAAGAGTGAGACCCCGTCTCTACTATAAATAGAAAGAAATTAATTGGCCAAATAATATATATAGAAAAAATTAGCTGGGCATGGTGGCGTATGCCTGTAGTCCCAGCTACTCGGGAAGCTGAGGCAGGAGGATCGCTTGAGCCCAGGAGTTTGAGGTTGCTGTGAGCTAGGCTGACGCCAAGGCACTCACTCTAAAAAAAAAAAAAAAAAAAAAAATTAACAATTAGAGATTGACAATAGCTGAAAGATGTTAAAGTATTGATTAAAACTGACAGCTAGCTACCCATTATAGAGACAAATAAATCAAAGGTTGGTACTCATAATTGTTAAATCAATAAATAAATACAATTGATTTTGAAGTTTAAAGCAATTCCAATCAAAATCGAATGAGAATGTTTTTAATTCAAAAATTAATCTGGAAGAATAAATGGGAAGAACTTTATAAGGACATTTTAAAAAGTAAAGTTTTGAGATTTATCCTACCAGTTATTAAAACATATAAAGCTACAATGATTAAAATAGTCTTGTTATGGCATGAAATCTGATAGATCAATGAGGCAGGAAAAACAGCCATAAAACAGATTTTATTAGTATAATAAAACCTTAATATACAATAAAGAACACAAGTCAATGGAGAAAAGATGGATTACTTAACAAAGAGAATTGGAAAAACTTCCACGAGTGTTTGAAATAAATTAAGTTAAATTATAACTTATTCTATACTATATTATATTTATACTAAATTCTACACTTACACTAAACAAATTCCAATTGCGTTAGAGAGTTAAATGTTAAAAAGCCAAGATGAAAATACATGTGACATGGGCCTGGCGCGGTGGCTCACGCCTGTAATCCTAGCACTCTGGGAGGCCGAGGCGGGTGGATTGTTCGAGGTCAGGAGTTCAAAACCAGCCTGAACAAGAGCGAGACCCCGTCTCTACTATAAATAGAAAGAAAATTAATTGGCCAACTAATACATACAGAAAAAATTAGCCGGGCATGGTGGCGCATGCCTGTAGTCCCAGCTACTCGGGAGGCTGAGGCAGAAGGATCGCTTGAGCCCAGGAGTGTGAGGTTGCTGTGAGCTAGGCTGCCGCCATGGCACTCACTCTAGCCTGGGCAACAAAGTGAGACTCTGTCTCAAAAAAAAAAAAAAAAAAAAAGAAAATACATGTGACTATTTAACTTACCTCTGGAAGTGGATCACATAAAACTTAAGGTTTTATATGTTAAAAGAACAAACAAAATTAAAAAGCAAGGGACAAACTGGAAAAATATTTGAAATAAATGTAAAAAAATCCATATTTTATATTATATTCATGCAATAAATATAACAAATTCAATAAATAAATACTTATTGAAAGAGCCAAATCACTATACACTGGGAATATACCAATGAACAGGGCAAACATGACTCCTTCTTTTAACAATTACAGACTACTGCATAAATAACTCTAAAATATTAAGAGCACTTATAGTTAAATAAGGAAAATGTTAATATCACAACAGAAATAAAGGCAAAAGATAAAAACAGGTAACTAAAAAAATACAAATGACTAAAATCGTTAAGAAAAAAATGTTCTAGGTAGTAATGAAATAAATACAAATAAAACCAATAAGGAGACACCAATTACCCCTACCAAACTTGTCAAATATTTAGCGAATTAACCTAAATTCTCATGAGGATATGATAGAAAATGTTCATATACTGCTAGGTGGGGCTGAAAATTGCTATAAAATTTCTGGAAAGAAATCTGCAAATAAGTATGAATGGCCTTATAATCTAGTAATTCATGCTTTTTACAATCCAGTTTAAAAAATTATATAAAGTTGGGAAAAAGCTTATATAGAAAGACATTAATTTCATACTATAACTGTTCAAACAAAAAACCTGGAAACAATCTAAATTTCCAATCATGGAATAGTCAAATAAATGATACATTCATGCACTATTATAGTTTATTACATATCTAACAAAACTACTGTTTTCAAAAATGCTTGATATCATATAAAAATGATCACAATAGGCCGGGCGCGGTGGCTCATGCCTGTAATCCTAGCACTTTGGGAGGCCGAGGCAGGCGGATTGCTCAAGGTCAGGAGTTCGAAACCAGCCTGAGTGAGACCCCGTCTCTACCAAAAATAGAAATAAATTAATTGACCAACTAAAAATATATATACAAAAAAAAATTAGCCGGGCATGGTGGCGCATGCTTGTAGTCCCAGCTACTCGGGAGGCTGAGGCAGTAGGATCGCTGAGCCCCGGAGATTGAGGTTGCTGTGAGCCAGGCTGACGCCACAGCACTCACTCTAGCCTGGGCAACAAAGTAAAAAAAAAAAAAAAAAAAAAAAAATGATCACAATATTTTGCTAAGTGAAAAAAGAACATCTCAACTCATAAAAACATAAATGGCAAAAATATGATGTTTATATATCTAAATAGATTTAAATGTAGAAAAAAGTCTAAAAAGAAATACAATAGTAAATGCAGTTATCTGTGTGTTGAGTAATTTTTTATTCTCTTAACTCTATTATAATCATATGACAGTTCTAATAAAAGTTATTAGAAATTTAAAGGCATGAAATAGTAAAAAGTAATTAAACAAAGCATTTTATGGTGTTTAAAAAGTACTTTCACATATACTGTTTTATTGCATTCTAACAAAACTCTGTTAAGTTTTTTAGTTGAAGAAACCAAGGTTCAGAGAAGTTAAGGATCAGTGTAGGCAATAAAGGTGAACTAAATGGCCGTAATGGGCCAAACATTGAGAACAGAAAGATAAATAAGGAGAGGTCTCTGTGCTAAGATGCTTAGGGTCTAGCGGAGGAGAAAGATAAGAAGTGCAATACATGTTATGAACTCTAAGACAGGGAAAGGTTCAGGTTTTAAAGGGATACATACATAAAGGAAGAGTGGTCAATTTTACCTAACTGGATCAGGTAAGATATGAGTTGCCTCTTGTGAGAAGGTGCTCCAAAAAAATGTGAAAAAAGTGGTAAGAAAGATGAAAAGGGTATCGCAGGCAGAGAGAGACAAGATTTAGTTATTGATTAGATGTGGCTGAAAAAGAAGAGAAGTAATCTAAAATGACTCCTAGATTTCAACTTGGACGATTGGATAGAAGTAGAGACACTCAGTGAAATAGGAAAAACAGAAGAAAGAAGTTGTTCTGGAAAAAAGATGATGAGCTTGATTTTTGAAATAATAGTTTTGAGATACCTTCCAACATCTAACATGTACTAGAACATATGAGTTTGGAGCTCAGGAAAGAATATCTGACACAAAGATAAAAATTTGGGGAGTTATAAGCATTTACATGGTAACTGATTCCATGGGAATAAATAAAATCATTGAATCAGTGAGGTCAAGGTGGGAATCTAGGAAAACGCCGATACTTAAGGATGGGTAGAGGAGATTGGAGAAGAGGAAAATGCAGTGTCTTAAAAGTTAAGGAAAAAGTGACTTCCTATTTTCTTTTAATTACCAAGATAATTGTGTCACTATAGCATTTTCCAGGAGAAAGAAAAATAAATGAACATGAAATATGAATACAAATATATTATAAATAGGAAAACATCTCATTTCTTACTTCATCTCTGCTGATGAGTTCATTGGAAAAAGTGAGTCCAGGCATAAGACCTCTCTTCTTTAGCCAGAATATAGCAGCAAAAGATCCCGAGAAGAAAATTCCTTCTACAGCAGCAAAGGCCACTACTCTTTCCCCTAGGAGACATAAAATAGTTTCATTTTCTAAAATATCACATACTGCAGACATTTATAAGTTTATATAGATTTTATTTTACAATAAATACAGCAACTATTTTGCTAAGAAACAAAATATACAAGTTAGTGCCATAGCCAAGGGACTTCAGAGGAGAAAATGTGCCACCTCTACCTACTAGAACAGAAAAGTATGTCTACTTCAAATCCTATATCCAACAATGGACTCCTGTAGGTCTTGGTGTCTGGACAAAGGATGGCCTTCTATACTCAAAAAAATAAAAAAAGTAATTTCCCTGTGCATCATATGTGCTTATGAGTGGAAGTACATGCAAATGAGTGCAGTATGTGTACATACATGTGTGTGTACTGAAGTGGAGAGTAGAAGGTGGACTTTATGACAAATGTCTTTCTCTGGGAGGAGGGAAGGTTGCTGAGGTTTATATTTTTAAAAACCTGTAGTATCTATCTTACAGTCTAGCTATAAACATTTCAAAAACATATTCCCATGCTGAAGATAATAAATATATCTATTAGATAAAATGTCCCATCATATAAGCAAAAATACTATCTTCTGCTAAACAAATAAGGGCCAATTAATTTGAAAGGTTACTCACTGTTAGGCAAGGACTTTGCAGAAGCCCATCTCCTAAAATGTCTATAGTAGCATCATATCTGTAACACTACCCCTGGGGGATGATTATAGGTCTAACACAAAAGGTCACTCACAAGTCCCTTATGTCATCACACTGCACATACTTGAGAGAAGTATTTATATATGTAGTTCTTTCTAGGGAGTTTGTGAGGTAAAGGCAGCTGAGTGCTTGAGTGAACTACAGACCTTTTTTCATAGATGACATCATGGTTTATATCTCAGTATTTGTCATAGGACCAAACACATAGAAGTCATGTAATAAATATTCCCTGAACTGAATCAATGGAAACTACATAAGTACTAGATAATAAAAGATATTAAAACCCATTCTACAGAAACTCCAGAACTTTGATGCAGAAACTGAGTATTTGTAAGTTCCAGAACAAATGTAATTATAATAAATTTCAAAAAGAAATATGACTAAGTTTAACTATTTCTGGCTATCTCTAAATAATGTACTGGTTTGTCCTTGTTCTTTTCCCTGATTATATTAAACAAACCAAATCAAAACAAAACAAACCAAGATAACTCAATTATACAAAATATTTGGTAATCCAAATTGTCTATTAATAGCCTAAAAAATGAGAAAAACTTCTAAAGTATTTTATTTTGACAGACAATTTAAAAAGTCATTTTGGAAAAAAATATAAAAGAAATAAATTAAGTAAGTATTTATTGAGTGCCTATCATGTAGAAGGAACTAAGAGAGAGAAGAATCTTTACTATGGTAGATGCTAAATAGTTAAATATAAGAATAATAATCACTATGCTTAAGATAGAGATTTGTCATTAGTTTAACATATAGCTTACTATATATAATAGATAGTTACAATTGATACATTTTTAATTGACACTAAGTTAATGTCATAAGGACAATTATCTGTAAGGGAAGCAGACTATAATTAACTACAAACATAGTGAATTCTAAGAGGAAAATTGTTATTTTAACCATACTGTGCATTCATGTGAATACTAAAAAATGAAAATCATAACAAATAGTTATAGAAGGTTATTCTTTTTCAGAGAGGATTAAAAGATTATAAGAAGTAAATTTTACAAAGTTTTATAAGTATATGTGAAATAAAAAGAGACTTCTAGAACATATCTTCTAAAATCTATAATGAATGTAAAGGCCTTGTGATTTGTTTTAGCGAGGGGTAAGTAGGATATATTCTAAGATACAGCTGACCTCTATGATGCACTTTAAGATTATATACCTAGTAGATTTTGAGGGTTTGAAATGTAATTTTATTACATATATTAAGTTTTAATCTATATATTTTTAAAGTTTTAAAAAAATATTTAAAAAACTAAACAGTATGTCTCAATGCTTTAAAGACTACACAGATACATAATTAGGAATCTTTAGCTCTACAGGACTGAATCTCCTTATAACACATAAACCTTAAAACAGACTGTGAAATAAATAAAAAAGCCTATAAAAACTAGTGAAAAAGTTAAAAATATACGAAAAATGAACAGTGGTTTATTTTAACTTGGGAATTTTTTTCTTTGTTCTATTTTCCAGTTTTTCCTTAAAGTGTTTATTATTTTCATAGTTTAAAATTAAAACAATAAACCCAAGAGGAAAAACAAAAAACTTTAAAACAAACTAATGATTTTTTTTAAGGAGTATTGTTAGATACCTTTCATCTAAAAATAAAGGATTATAGAAGTCTGGATGTAAGGAAAGAATAGTTTACTATACTGGGTCTCACTCCGTGCAAAAGTCACCAAGAAGGTCACCAAACACATTAGGCAAAGCTCTAGGCCCGATGAAAGAGCTGTTTTTGTCAACCTAAAGCTACTAATGGTGCAGGTGATAAAACCAGTTCACAAAACAGCATTTCTTCAGCTGGTTAAAGTACCAGTGTGTGGCAAAGCAAGACAATATTCCCATGTTATTGTCTTTTAGTTCCACTCCAAAAAAAGGAGTCCTACCAATGTGTTCCATCTATTCTACTCCTTCTACATCATTTTGAACACATCCTTTCCTTTGAGACCCTAAATTAGAACCCTAAAGTAGGGTCTGCCTTGAAATTAAGCAATTTGGAGAATCTAACTAGAGCCCTTTATGTGGTTACATGGTGACTGCCACCCTTCTCCGTTTTCTCTATTTTTGGTTATCTTTGTTGGGTAGTTCATGAAATACATGCTTTCTGTGAGCCTGTTCATCATTTTCCATCAGTACCTATTCATACTAGTATTTTCAGTGCATATTGAATACTTTGATATTTCCCTTCTTTTTTTCTCTAAAGCCAATGTTTCCCAAAGTGTGCTTCTTAAATCTCTGTGAGGGAATCAGTTGGGTATAAAATGCAGATTACTCAGTCCCACCTGGGCCTCCTGAATCCTCTTTGGTGAAAACCACCAGTATTCTGCAGGGTTTTTCCACAAATTCTCTAGATGACTTTTATGCACATTGAGAACCACTGCTTTTCTCATTCTTGAAATGAACTGAAGGCAATGCAAACATACCTGTTTCTTCTCTGATATACTACATGCTTGCCCATACATGTACTACATCACTGGTTCTCAGGTGTGGTCCAGGAGTCCCTGGGAGTTCCACAGATCCAGGAGATCTGTGAGGTCAAAATTGTGGATCGCTATACTACTTGTTAGATTCTATGTGACTAACTCTTATTTATCTGTCATTATACACTGACATCTTAACTTTCTAACTTTCAACTTATTAAATAGAATAGATAACAGCTTTTTTTAAACTACCGGCTTCTAATTAATTATTAGGAATAATGATTTTGATAAAGGTGCATGCTGTAACTTTGAATAGTACTGGATAGTCGCACTTTGTATAATAGTGTCATATCACCCAAGGCAAATTTGATCACATAAAAATTAAAGCTACATACCAAAAGTAGCTTTTCTATCTGCTATCCATCGCAAGGCCCAATCTGCTTTTTTCTTAACACATGGCATTGTTTCAATTGCATTAAATAAAAATTCCCTGTAAAGGCAAAAAAATTAATGACAAAGTTATTTTTCTTAATCAGAGAAATTAATTAGCTTAATCAGAGATAATAACTGTACCTCTGATATGCTACCAGATCTATAGATTTTCTATATTTTGCATGTCTGTAAAATATAGAAATGAAACTCAAATTAATGGTTTGGATCTAGTCTGATACAAAATCAACTAAATTTGAAGATTTAATTTCTAAACAGAATGTGCTAATAAAGTTTTTAAAGATACAATGTCTAAAGATTAACTGGTTCTATATAAGTTTTTTTTTTAACCCAACATATTATTAAGCAATAGAAAATATTATCCTCACAAACCTCCATATTTGCATACTCTTTTCTTAACATTTACTTGTGGAATAAATTGTGTTCTTAACATAATCAATCAATAAGAAAAATCTTTGTAAATAAAATCCCAGCAGTAATACCTTTTCTTGGGATCTCTGATGTAAGTGTCTATTAGCAAACTGTACATCTCTGAGTGAACATTCTCGATGAGAATTTGAAAGCCATAGAAACAACGAGCCTCTGGAACCTGTACCTCCTGACTAAAGCGCTCCACCTAAGAAAATAAGGGAAACAGATATATCCAGTTCTATGGATATAACTAAGCACTGGGTTAAAAACTACAAATCAGAATTTGGACATCAGAATTATCATTTAAAAATTGCTTGTCATGCAACGAACAGGTCAGAAAGACCTTATGGGTTATTTTAAACAGTATCTTAAGCAGTATTGTTTATCCATCAATCCTCCACAGTAAATTAGTTGCATAATATATTCTTATGCAATTAAATGAACTGATCTGTTAAGTGGAGATACTGTCTATAGAGCCAAATAAATTCTACAACATCTACCAAAAATAATGATTTTGCTCTAGTGGTACTGGAGCATATGAAAGAGGTTGGGGCCAGGGAGAGAGTAATTTAGTCTTTTTTTTTTTTTTTTTACAACAGTAGATAGATCTAAAGTCTCTTGTAGTTCATGGTGAAAGTTCATCTTTCTATTCTCTTTAACAAGAAATTATGACTCCTGATCAACCATAATAAAGTTTTAAAATAGGAAGCCAGAACCCAGTGTTCTATAACAGAGCTCTGGAGGGTTACTAAGGTGCAGGTTCTCTATTAAGATTACTCTCTGGGGGTAACCAGTCAAACTTATGTTAATGCATTGTAAGTAGTTTTGATTGGTATAATTTACACTTGATTTCATATTTTGCTGGTCAAAAGACAGAAATATATCCTTTCCTCTGACACTTCATCAAAAAAGCATTTTCAAGAGTTAAGCTTCATCTAGTTCATTTCTTAGATATCTTTTTTTCGGGCTTAATCTAATGATTTTACTGACATTATTATCAATAAACTGCTGAATGGGAACAAAAACAAAAATCTTACCAAATTTTCATTTACAATTCCATCACTGGCTGCGAAAAAGGCTAAGATGTGAGAGATAAAATACTTCTCATCTGATTTAAGTTTATTCCAGTGAGGGAGATCCTTTGATAAGTCGACCTGGAATAAAAAGATTTTTGAAAATTTTAATTTGAAGTTAAATTCTTCTCAAAGTGTTAGTTTCTTATTTCTTTATAGTGTAACTAACTTCCACTACAAAGTTAAGTAAACTGCAGAAAAGGAAAAATGTTAACATTACAAAGAAATAAAACATTATGTTAATAATAGTATATTATATTCAGGATTTTTGCTAAATAAATTATAGCTGCTCTGGAGGATGGGGGAGATCCAGGTAATTATGTGAGATGAGGGATTTGTTAATTTGTTACACTATAGTAACCATTTTACTATATATGTAGCTTATCATGTTGTATACCTTAAATATACATAAAATTTATTTTTAAAAAACTTGAATCAATGAATCAAGTTTTCTGGATAATTGAGAAGCTGGCCAGAATGTACTTATAAAAAAATACATATATATATATGGTTTTTTTTGTGTGTGTGTTGTTTTTTTTTTTGAGATAGGGTCTTGAGCTCTGTTGCCTAGGCTAGAGTACAAGTGAATTCATCATAGCTTACTGCAACTTCAAACTCCTAGGCTCAAGCAATTCGCCTGCCTCATTCTCCCCAAGTAGCTGGGACTACAAAGGTGAGCCATCATGCCTGGCTAATTTTTTGTAGAGATGAGGGTCTCAATAAGTTGCCCAGGCTGGTCCCAAACTCCTGCCCTCAAGAGATCCTCCCACCTCAGCCTCTCAAAGTGCAGGATTACCAGTGTGAGCCACTATGCCTATAATTAAAATTAACACAATCTAGTGGTACTGCAGCAAATGAAAAAGGTAAAAGGTGGGGAAAGAGTAAAAACCAGTCAAGAAGGAATTGCAGTGAATAAAGTAACAATTTCAACAGCCATTGCTCTAACATTTTACATAATATTTGTTACTATGTTGTTAAGACAGATAATTAGGCACTTGTTAACCAATTGTAGCTACTATTCTACTGCCAAGTAAAGTACTTTTATACTCAGAAGTAATGTTGGGTAGGTTGTTAACAACCTGGGTTTTAAAGCAGTTGATAGGTATGGCTTCCTCTGGGAATAGAAATATTTGTGAAAATGTTTATTAGAACTAGTTCTTGGAATTAAGAGAGATGCACTTGACAAAACCTACAATATGAAAATTATCTTTACATGTACCTTATTGCCTAAATTAGCAGCTTATTGTCTATAACAGCTCTGGCTGCTATAACAAATTACCACAGACTGGGTGGCTTAAACAACAAACATTTATTTCTCACAGTTCTGGAGGCTGGAAGCCCAAGATCAGGGTGCCAGCATGGTCAGGTTCTTGGTGAAGGCCCTCTTCCAGGTTTATAGATGGCTGCCTTCTCACTGTGTCCTCAGATGGCAGAGAAAGAGAGATTATCTCTCTCATATTCTTATAAAGGGCAGTAATCCCGTTCATAGGGCTCTGCCTTTATGTAATTATCTCCCAAGGCTTCAAACCCCACCTTCAAACACCACCACATTGGGAATTAGGGCTTCAACATACAATTTTGAGAGATACAAATATTTAGTTCATAGCTCTTGTAGATATTATTTTATTATTATATTATTATCTTACAAAGATCTTTGAGTATGTTTCACAATAACTTCATAAATATTTGAAATATGTAACCGTCCTTTGTCTTTTGCCCTTCCTTTATTTATTCTAACAAAGACTCATCCATCTCTTTAACCTTTCCAAAAAGGTCTAATGTTCCATTCTTTTAATCATTTGTGTTCTTTTCTAAAACCCTTTTCCCATTCATATATTCTTTAAATTTTTGCTGAACAATTACTACATGCCAGACACTATTCTACGTACTGGGGATACAATGGGGCAGGAAGGGGGAAATATTTGTCTTCTTCCTTTAAAATATGTAAGCTAAAAATCACCTTCTGTTCTATTAGAGCTCAATTTAGGTTTAACTGGAAGATGTCTTCTTAGTTCTTATGTATTATACTCCTGATATTAAATTTTTTTCTTCTGTGAAAATTTAATATTATCATGTGCTTTCTCTAAAATATTAAACTATCTGTTTGAACACTCAGTTGCAAATGGTCTTATACATTTTATTCATACTACATTGATCATATTTCCTTACAGAAAGTTAAATTTTCCTGCCAGCTTTATCTCAATTGAGAAAATTCTCAATTTCACCATCTAAATATTGATTCCAAACTAGCTATCAGAATTGTCTGAGTGGCTTTAAAAAAAAAATCCCAAACCTCAGATCTTTTATCTTCTGAATCAGGGTTTCTGTTAATCAGCCACATTTAAGAATTAAGCTTAACCATTAATAAAACAGTGGCATTCTTACCCCTAAATCTATTAAAATAAAAATATTAAAATGCATCATAAAAAATAATGGAGTCTAAGGTTGATTAAATGGTAACTTAAATAATTTGTTTAAATGAAAAATATGTGGAGCTAAAAATGTGTTTGACTTCCTTTCCAAATGTGTACTTGAATCTTCCTCAAAGCTACCTACAAAATATGCACTGACCTGTATATTTTGGCTTTTAAAAATCAGTGTTCTTAGTCATAGTAAAACATATATTCCATTTGCTAAAAGATGCAAGTAATGTCTAAATGAATTTCAAGAAACCAAGAATCACAAGTACCTTTTAAACATGATGAATGAAAATGCCACCTGTGTACTCCACTTGTTCTCTAAACCATATCTAATAAAAAACCTCCTTAAACCCACAGACAGTTAGGGATAGCCAGGTGTGTCAAGTGTTATGACACAGTATGAAAATACTCAGTGTTTTGGTTTAGTTTTTTTTACTCTACATGTCAATTATAACAAAGATGTTGACAATATAACAACAAAGATTGGTAAGTGGGTAAAATTAGTGTAATAGAAGTCTTCTGATTTCTAGGTTAAATCTCCCCCCCTTCTATGTATAAAATAATAGTTTACATTTATTTAATACTAAGTGCCAAGTACCATTTTAAACATCTCATTAATCCTCATAACAACCCAAATAGTCAAGTACTATTAGCTTAATTTACTAATGAGGATACACAGAGAGGTTAAGCAATTTTCCCAGTTCCACAGCCATTAAGTAGCAGAACAGGATTTGTACCTAGGCAGTAAGCCCCCAGACCCTGCATTCTTAACAGCATGTGTTTATGTGTATAGAATCAATATCTTGAAAAATACATCCAAATATATCTGTCCAAATACAGACATCTATCTATAGAGATACATATACAAACATACAGAGCAAGAGTGATATGCAGGTATCAATGATCGTATTTAAAGATGAAGATAATAACTATTTGTTCCGTTAGACTACAGAGCAATCATTTGCATGAGCAACTGTCCTTACCAAACCAGCAAGTATTTTGTCATTTGATATGTTCACCTAACTCATTTCCTTGGTAGAACTAACAGAAAGCATTCTAGAGAGGATCTGCTGGGGGCAGCTATGTCAGGTTTGATGTGGCTGGGGCAGGGCCAGAATGGGAGAAGCACTGTGAATTCAGCCTGGCAGACTCAGGAGTGAATGCACTGCCTGGATGGTCAAAGTCTTCATGTGACAGCTTCTTTTGTCCAATCACATAAGTCTCTCAATTGAAAGCAGGGGCCCTAAGACATTCACTCTTATTTTTTGACTATAGCTGCAATTTTATTTATTCTGCTCACCTAAGTAAAGACTAGTCATATATTTGGTCATGGAAAACTAAGTCTGTTTAAAAATAGAAAATGCTGGCCGGGGCAGTGGCTCATGCCTGTAATCCTAGCACTCCGGGAGGCTGAGGCGGGAGGATCGCTCAAGGTCAGGAGTTCAAAACCAGCCTGAGCGAGACCCCGATTCTACTAAAAAATAGAAAGAAGTTAATTGGCCAACTAAAAATATATAGAAAAAATTAGCCAGGCATGGTGGTGCATGCCTGTAGTCCTAGCTACTCGGGAGGCTGAGGCAGAAGGATTGCCTGAGTCCAGGAGTTTGAGGTTGCTGTGAGCTAGGCTGATGTCACGGCACTCTAGCCTGGGCAACAGAGTGAAACCCTGTCTCAAAAAAAAAAAAAAAAAAAGTTCTAAAATATATTGGAAGTAAAAATCTAGCAGAATGAAATGCCATTTTTGCAGCAGGAAACTTGTTTATAGACAGTAGTCTAAACCAAAACATTGGAGAACACTTGTTTAGTCTCAGGATTTCCAAAACTTATTTTCTACAACTGATCTTATTCAATGTATCTTTTAAGTTAAAAATTTTCAGTATCCTGTAACACAGAAGTGAACACTGTACTATAGGACATGAATGCTGATGAAGGTGATGCCACATACCTCTTCTGCTGTCCAGAATGATGCTTGTGCCTGTTTATACATTTTCCAGATATCAGGGTACTGGATTGGAAAGATGACAAATCGGCGAGAACTCCTTTTTAGGAGTGGCTCTTCATTTGACATCGCTTCATTTTCATTGGTATCTGAAGATAACCTCTTTGAAAAATAAAGCACAAAACCCCTTTTTTTGTAGACATTTCCATTTTATTTATACCTAAAGATACATCTGGGGAAGTTAGGGAGACAGCATACGTTTGAGAGCCAGTCTGGATAAGTTGAATCCTTACTGTTATCTGGTAGCTAGCTAATACTGTTTGGTCAGTTGTGTGACCATAGGAAGTTGCTTACTTTGAGCCTCAGTTTCCTCAGTTGTAAAACAATACCTACCTCACAGCTTTATTCTCATGATTAAAAGTGCTTTAAAAAGAGCCTACTGTACAGTAAGCACTCAAAAAAAATAAATATTGTAATTATTGCTAGACCCATAAATGTCATGGTGGGCAAATTTCTAAGTTTCTGAACAAAATGTCCCTTTGGTACCTCTCTCATATAGAATGCTGGCATAAACTACTGTTATAAAACACTTTTTAGTTTTAATGTTTTTGTTGGACCAGATGCTTACTAAAATTCATTCTATATGTAAAATTCTGTCTCTGTCTTTATGGGTCTGTATCATTGAGATGGGGATAATAAAATTTAACTTCAGGTGTTAAGCCTGAATGACTGCTGATGCCATTAGCACAAGCAGAAAAGTCTGAATTTTCCCATTTGAGTGGAGAAATTGGTACTAAATGTATTTGTTCCAAACGAAAAAGAAAAGTTTGAGGGATATGTACAATGTTAATTAGTTACTAAATGCTTCAAAATAAAATAAAATTCCAAACCTAGAATCTACAACTTTGTAAAGAAATGTAGGGCTAAGCATCAATCTCTGTGAGCTGAAACTTATTTCCTCCAAATCTGGACAGTATTAAAGATATCACACAAGTATTTTTCTTGTTCATAAACGGTTTAGAAGTATTTGCAAAATAAAGGTATGAAAATTACTGAGCAACAATTTAAACTACTATACAACCCTATAGTCTAACGAATCCCAGTTTACTTACTGTTATTACAGACTTCTATTAGCATAGAAGCAGAGAGGATGATCAAGTTAACTTGGGTTTATTATGTATCTACATACAATATTTGTGGCACTTTGCATAAAGCATTTTACTTTTCTGTGAGGGAAGTAACGCCTCCACCGTACAAATGAAGCGACACCCCAAAGATTCAGTTAATTGAGTAGCCTGGTTTGAGCAAAACTGGCCTCCTAACTAATTTTTTTTTCATTGTTGGGCGGTTATGAGGATTTTGCGTCCCCATTCTACCTGTCATTTCTACCTATCCACCTGTGTCAACTTCCACAAGCGTCCTCCCAGAGATGGTACGCATGTCTCCAGTGGTTCCGCCACCGTCCTCTTCCCTTGCCTCCGTCCCCCAGGCCAGGGCTCCAGAGCAGGGAAGGAAGGTCGAATAGCTCGGGGCGGACAGACGAGGGGATAAGCCTCACACTACGCGAGGCCTCAGAGCGTAGTCCGGGCAGGCCCCGGGGCGGCGCGGCGCGGCGCTGCGGGGCGGGGCGGAAACCCGACTCTGTCCTCACCCGTCTCCGAGGACTGCCTCCCCAGCGCTCGCAACCACCAAACCAGGCTGCGGAGAGGGCGCGCGGACGGCCCCGCGCCGGGTTTCCGACCGCAATGAACAAACTTTGCTACAGCGATCCTGCGACTTGCAGGTCGCCGCAGCAACCTGCAATCTGTAGGCCAGGTGTCACTGTAGGGCGGGGAATGAAGCGACAGCAACATTTACCTCATCCAGCTCGGGCCTGGCCGCTTCCGGCCTTTCCGGGTCGCCCATCGCGCAGACTCCGCCAGAGCTGCCGGAGCTGAGTGAACTGAGAGCCGCAACCACGTCCAACCGCGACGGGACTCAGGTGGCCCGCAGGTCCGCCCCGCCCCCAGCTGGAGGGACGCGTCCTAACCCGGCCCGCCCCGCGGCGCTGACCCGACCCAGCGTTCGGGTCTGCCCATTGAGGGGCTGTCCTGCGCCCGCCTCCTCCGCCTCAGGGCTCCGCCTACCTCGCCGCCCCGCCTCCCCACCGCGCCTTCTGCAGACTAAAGGATTCTCCCGCCTCGGCCAGCCCCGCCTCACTCCAATGTCGGGTTCCTGTTCCCATTCCTAGTGTCGGCCTTGCTAGTGAGGGACAGCCTCTGCCATGGACCGCCCCTCCTGCTCCAGCTGGCCCCACCTCACCGCTTCGGCCCCGCCTCCCGCCTGCCCCCTGAGCAATTCTCGGTGCGCCGGCCGGCCCCGCCCTCCCCGGGGCCCCGCCCTCCCCGGGGCCCCGCCTCCTCCCCTCGCACCTCTCCCGCCACCCCCTAAGGGAGTGTTCGTGCGCCCTCCGGGCCCCGCCCACAGGCCTCAGGGCCCCGCCCCCTCCCCTCGCCCCCTTCCCGCCTGCCCCCTGAGGAGCCAGCCAAGCCCGCCGGGCTTCGCCTCGCCGCCGACAGCTTGAGGGACCCGGCCTATGGCCTGGTGCCCGCCCGGGGTTCTACTCTCCTGATACAAGAGGTGCCCGGCATGCCAGGTCAAGATTCCCCAGCTAGCCCTCGTGCCCAGGAACATGGTATGTTGCGCTAACTCGGCCTGACCTCAGAGACCAGGTGAGAACGCGCTACTGATGTGTGAATTTGGGGGGCGGGGTGGGAGAAAGCCACACCGTCTAAAAATTACTGAGGAAAAAGGCTGGCTTGTTTTGTGTTTAAGCAACCGAAAAGAGGAAGTGGTTAGGGGGAAAGTGTGTGTGTGTGTGTGTGTGTGTGTGTGTGTGTGTGTGTGTGTGTGTGTGTTTGTGAGAGTGAGTGTGAATGGGGCTTGAGTGAGGAGGGGAGGGAGAGACCACTAAATTCAGGCAAATATTTTGAGACCTCTGTGAAATTGTTTCAGCAAACTAAGCTTTTAGTAATATTTATTGAAGTCTTACAGGCACTATACTAAGCACCTTATGTGAGTTAATTTAGTTAATCCTCAGAACATCTCTGTGAGGTAGATGGAGCAATTTTCCTCACTTTACAAATGAAGAAACTTGAATCTTAGGAAAAGCAATTGAAGTTATCCAGCTGAAAAGTAGTAGACGCCAGCGTCTCCTTGCTACATGCTCTTGTCCAGGCCATCAGTTTGCTCTTGGGTAATGTAATGGCAGTAGACAATGGCTACTGAGGGTGACAGTGATTTGGTTGAATTACTCAATATAGCCTTCTCTTAGGGGAACTAGCTAAAGATAACTACAACAGGAAGAAAAAAACAGTTTGGTCTAGCAAAAATAAGAAAGAGATTTGTTTAAGTGGCTTAAAGCTGAAATATTGGGGGACCTTGCTATGACTTGAACAACATACACCTGTTTTGTGGCTGTCTGAAGTATGGTAAAGTAGGATAGAAATTTTACTGTAACCTTTGAGAATGAAAGGTCTTTCTAAAACCTGCCCTAGAGTATAGGGGGAAAGAGTTAGCTTTTTTTTAAATTTTTATTTTAAGGCAAGTGCGAAATAAAGTTTATTGAGGAAGGGCAAGATAGGTATACAGAGCAAGAGCAAGATAATAGGTTTTCAGAGCAAGTTCACCACAGACGACAAATTGGACCCTTTGCCATAATGAGAGGCCTAGAGTTAGCTCTTCTTAAAGCAACTACGAGGGATCAGATGCTGAGTGAAATTTTTTCCATATATTAATACTAGTCAGGCCATTCCAGAGGTCATGGAACAAAAAGATCTAATTGATGCCTGATCACCCAGTTTATTAAATCTATTTATTTTCATTTTAAACAGGATGTTTATTTAAACAAGACATTTGACTTGAAAAACTATCTAGAATTCTTTTTTTTAAGAGCAATTTATTGCTAAAGACAGATAAAAAAAGCTAGTTATACAGTTATAATATTGTCCTTGGCTTTATGATGATAAATGAAAAACATTAAAATTCTCCAACTGAGCAAGGTAAGGAAGGATTTTTAGGTTTGTTTTTTGGTTAAAATAATGAAACAAAATAACTTGCTGGAATATAAAAATAAGAGCTGAATGAGCACACCACTGATGGAAAAGGGGGTATTTTTATAGAACCAATATTTTTTCCCATTCCATCTCTATTCGATGTTGATCAAAACATACCATTGTCCATTTATTTTTTTTTAAAAGCATTATGCTTGTGCACATACATCAGTTACATACAATAAAGTAAAGGGAATGGGAAAATGAAAGGATAGAGAAAATTATACTGTAGTAGTCAGGATGTGGTGAAACCAAATTACGGTTTTCTAATTGAGAATGCATTTTTGGTCTGTGGGAACAGAGCACTGGAATAACATAACAGGTTTCTTTTTTGGTAGACACCTCCTGTCTTTTGTTAGAATACATTAATTGTATATCCAGCCTCCCTTTCCATCTGTGCAGATGAGTCTGATTCATTGATTAGCTGCCCATGAAATCTGGACTCTGATTGGCCTCATTGACAAACTCTATCATTCACAATAGGCTTTCATTAGTTACTAAGTGGTGTATGCCTCTTAGACTGTAGCACAGAAACATCCTTCCCCGCCACTTTCAAATGAATATCATTGTATTTCTCAGTCTTGACTCCTTCCTTGGGCTTTTTGTCAGCCATGGAGAGTGCCATAGTCTCCTCAGCTGTCACTTCATAAAAGGGGTACCAAGTCTGCGATGAATGAGCATACAAGCTGTACCTATTAAATAAATTTAAAACATACAGCAAGGAGAAAGAAATGGTATTGACTATTCAGGAAGGGGTATGGGGAAGTATCACACTGCCTGATTCTTAATGTTACTATTCATGTCCTGTCTTTGCTACATCAGTCTTCCTCACTGGTGGTGTAGTTATGAGGATCATAGATGAGGATAAGCAAGAGCACTCAGCAGACAAAAGGTGGAGCCAACACTTTCTCTTTTGGGGAGGTGCAGAAGCAAGCATCTGAGCACAGCTGTAACTTGCCATAAGTTAGCTTGCTAAGTAACTGGATTTTTTCTGTGCTTCTTGAGCAGAGCACAGGAGGGGCCAGAATGGATCTCACCATTTAATGGCTGATTTAGGGATAACATAGTTGTCAGTCTAGAAGTGACATAATCCTTACCTTATGAATATTTCAGATTTACTTATTTGGTCCTTTCATCCCTGTCTATAATTGGCCCTCTCATTTGCCCCATTATATTTATCTATGTTCAATACAGAAATGTTCCATTCTATCTTTAACATGCCTCACAGGTTAATAATTTACTATTTATACTTAACACATTATGAATCTCATGTCTCACAAGCTGTTTGCTTCTATACTTCGTTTCTCTCAGTTTCTGTAGCAGAATTGAATAGGCTTAAATAATATAGCAAATACACATTCCAGTGCTTAGAACAGTGTAGACAGTATATATTAGTTTCCCTCAAGATTTTTTATTTTTTGAGATGAGGTCTTACTCTGTCACCCAGGCTGGAGTGCAGTGGCACGATCATAACTCACTGTAGCTTGGAACTCCTGGACTCAAGCAATCCTTTGGCTTTAGCCTTTTGGGTAGCTGGGACTTTAGGCATGCACCATCGCACCTGACCCCCATGTTTAAGGTTATTGGGAGAGTAAATATAATAAATTAAATATGTAACTGAAGCATCGCTGGCAGTATGAAGATCCTACATCTTCATATAGCATTTATGGCATACTGTATTTTCTAAAAATGGCCACAGCAATATTTCTGGTCCCACATGCTGTTTTAGAACTTTGATACAACTCCCATGAAAAGGTGGAGTCTAACAGACCCTTCCCTTGAATATGGGCTGTCATCACTAACTTCTAACAAATAGAATACAGTCATGTACCACCTAATAACATTTCAGTCAACATTGGACTGCATTATAGGATGCATAAGATCATAATGGATCTGAAAATTTTCTGTCACCTAGTAACGTCATAGTCATAGCACAAAGCATTACTCACATGTTTGTGGTGCTGCTGGTATAAACAAATACAACTGTGCTGCCAGTTGTATAAAAGTATAGCAAATACAAATATGTACAATATATAATACTTAATAGTGATAATAAATGATAATTACTAGTTTTTGTATTTACTATAACTATAGTTTTTATTATTTTAGAGTGTAATTCTTCTACTTATATAACAAAAAAAATTAACTGTATAACAGCCTTAAGCAGGTTCTTCAGGAGGTATTGCAGAAGAAGGCATTATTATCATAGGAGATGACAGCTTCACATATGTTATTGCCCCTGAAGACCATCCAGTGGGACAAGATGTAGAGGTGGAAAACAGTGATAATGATGATCCTAACCTATGTAGGCTAGGCTAATGTGTGTGTTTGTGTCTTAGTTTTTAACGAAAAGTTTTAAATAAATTTAAGCTTATAGAAAAAAGCTTATAGAATAAGGATATAAAGAAAATATTTTTGTGCAGCTACACATGGTGTTTGTGTTTTAAGCTAAGTGTCATTACAAGTGTTAAAAAGTTAAGAAAAAATTAAGTTTATAAAGTAAAAAAGTTACAGTGAAGGTTAATTCATTGAAGAGAGAAAAATATTTTACAAATTTGGTGTAGCCTAGGTGTACAGTGTTTATAAAGTCTACAGTAATGTGCAGTAATGTCCAAGGCCTTCACATTCACTCACCACTCACTTACCTAAAGCAACTTCCAGTCCTGTACTCTCTGTTCAGGGTAAGTACTCTATACAGATGTACCATTTTTTATCTTTTATACTGCATTTTTACTGTACCTTTTGTATGTTTAGATATATTGAGATACATAAATATTAATACTTACCATTGTGTTACAGTTGCCTACAGTGTTCAATATAGTAACATGTGGTACAGGTTTTTAGTCTAGGAGCAATAGGCTATATCATATAGCCTAGGTATGTAGTAAGCTATATCATCTAGGTTTGTGTAGGGACACCATAGGATCAATCACATAATGAAATCACGTAATGACACATTTCTCAGAATGTATCCCCATCATTAAGTGATGCATGACTATATATAACCTATAAACCTAGTTCATGAAGG